TTCACCCCCCCACCCAGTTCTCAGGGTCACTGCTCCTCTACCCCTGCGCTCACAGGGTCACCTCTATCACACTGTCCAGCTCTGAGTCATTCTGCTGTCCAAGTTCGCACAGTGACACCCCCCTCCATAGACAGGCTCCCTGGGCCATCAAACCCCCACCTAATGTCCTTTACTGTGTTTAGATGAACACTCAGCCTTCTAAATTCAAAGAACACTGACCGGGTTTAAACAAGTGCTGCATTGGGCTGCGGTCACTTACTGCCCCAGGGTTCTTCAGAGAAAACCACTCACCTGCCTGACCCTCAGCAGAAATGTGCAAACAGACACTCTCAGCTGCGCCAATGTGACATTAAGAGAGAGAGAGAAATACGGTACGATGTTCTGACCGGTGAGTGGCAGGATGTTCGTATTCCACGATGGGCTGAGTGGCCTGCTGCTGTGCTGCTCCTGAGAGAATTGACATCATTGGGGTAGGGCTTGGCCTGTTGTGGGCAATGGCACAGAGACCTTACACTGGGTGGGGCAAGATGGGGGTGGCAAGGGCAAGACTGGGGTGAGAGAGAAAGGGCAGGTAGGAACAAAGTGTGGAGGGTAGGGGAGGGAGAAGAGAATAGATGAGGGAGCAGGGACAGGAGAGGGTGCTATGCGCAAGAGGGCAGGAAGGGGCAGGGGGAAGAGAAGGTGCAAAGGCGAGAGGGTAGGAAGAGGCAGGGGGAGGAAAGAGGGGCATGTGTGAGAGTGCATGGGCAGGCAAGATGGGAGGAGAGAGGGGAGGGGAAGGAGAGGGGAGGTGGAGGAGAGCTGGCCAAGAGAAGGGGAAGAAGAAGGGGCAGGGGAAGGGAGAAGAAGAGTGGTGCAGGGGGAGGAGATGGCCATGAGGAGGAGAAGAGGCAGGTGGAAGAGAGAGGGGGCAGGGGAGGTGAGGCGGCAGGGGGACAAAAGGAGCCAGGAAGAAAAGGGGGCAGGGGCAAGAGAGAGCAAGGACGGAGGCGATAGGGCAGGAGGGGGCGGGGCAACAGTTTCCCCTCCTCCCCCCGGAGAGGCAGTAGCAAGCAGCAGGTCGGGATCGGGTTGAGAAGTGGATTGACTGGGAGCTGGGAATCCGAGTTCAGGCAGATAGCACCGAGACAGAGAGGAAAGAGAAAGAGGGAGGGAGTGTGAAGAAGAGAAAAAAACCCCAATCCATGGCCATCACGTGACGCTGGGAAGATTGGAGGGGGATAGAGGGAAGGAGAGAGAGAGAGGAAAGAAGAGGAACCGAAGAGGAAAAGCGGGAGCGGATCGAGGAGGCGCCGGGAGTGAGAGTGAGTAAAGAGCCCGCGGTGTGGCTTCGTGCTGGAGGGAGAGGGGCCGCTGCTGCTATATCTCCCCCGCACCCCCCGGCCCTGGGGCTCGGCTGCCGCCTGGGAGCCGAGGCCCTGGAATCCGCGCTCGGATACAATGAATCGAGTCCGGCCGCCGCGGATACATTGTCGCCGACAAAATGGTTACTGCAGGCCCCTGGGTTCAGGGAGAGAGAGAGAAGGCCCTGTGAGAGGGACTGGAGGGAAAAGGAGGGAGAGGGAGATGGAAGAGAGAAGGAGGGAGGGAGCCCAGGGTCAGGGGGAGGAGGGAACGCGGTTGAGCAGAGCCCCCCCTCCCCCCCGGGTAAAATTCTCCACTCGGTTGGATTCCAGGGTTTCCCAATTTGTGTAACTTGCTGGACTTAAGCAGCAACTGGTTTCCAAATTATTCCAAACCCCTTCCTCGGGGACAACTGGGATCCTAGGCCTCCTGATCATACAAACCCATTTCTTCCTCTTCCCCCAGCCAGACCGACTCTGTCTCTCCCCCTCCCACCCCCAGCCGGACCAGCACACCCCCAGCCGGACCAGCACACCTACCTCCCTCGCACCCCCAGCTGGACCAGCACACCTACCTCCCTCGCACCCCCAGCTGGACCAGCACACCTACCTCCCTCGCACCCCCAGCTGGACCAGCACACCTACCTCCCTCGCACCCCCAGCTGGACCAGCACACCTACCTCCCTCGCACCCC